AAGAGTAACTTTACAGTGGAGACACCTGACAGATGGTATCTCAGCCAGGTGATCAAGGGAAACATCGACGTGTGTAAGTTATGCTGATAATATCTACTCTTGATATGACACGATGAAAATGGCACCTTCCTCTGTGGTCTTCCTTCCAAAACACATCACCCCAGTCTAATCACGAGAAAAACATCAGACAAATCCCAATTAAGGGACATTTAACAAATGCCAGTCCAGTATTCCTCAAAACTGTCAGAAGCAGGAGAAACGTAAGGAAGCACGATGATGAAATATAATACATCCTGGGTGGGATGCTGGAACAGAAAAAGGACATTAGGTAAAAACAAAGGAAATCTGAATAAAGTAAGAACTTTAGTTCTTAATAACATATCGATACTGGTTTATTCGTTGTGACAAATGTACCAAATTAATACAAGATGCTTACAATAGGGGAAACTTGGTACTGGGTATGAGAACTCTCTGTAATAGTTTTGCAATTTTTCTGTAAATCTAAAACTATTCTGAATTTAAAGATTCTTTTTTTTTTTTTTTTAAAGAAATAGGGCAAAATATCCCCAAAACACTATTGACGACACTCATCTTGGAAGAACCCTCCTGGCTTGGTAGATAAGCCCAGTTGACAGGAATGACCCAGATCCAGTTTTATCTCTGCCACTGACCAACCATGTCACCTTGAGCAAATCATTTAATCTGTCAGCAGCAACTTCAGTTCGCCATCTTCATTACAGCCATAATAACATCCAAACCATTCCTCCCTGACAGGAATGATGTAAGGATGATATATGATAATATACTTCAGGAGCCTGTCACGCTACCAAGGCAGGGCGTTCTTACTGCTTTATGAGGTACAAAGTCCACGGTGGAGAGAGCTCACCGCCTGGTGCAGGCTCATTCTAATCTGTAAAATGTCTCATGGGCAGTAAAAGAGAGGAGTTGGTGGTATTCTCCATATCTGGAACAGCACCTGCAGCCCAGATGAGTTTGTATTTACAGTGTGAACACAAAAGATATTGCCTGATGCTGTATATTAAATATGAAATATCCTACATGTTACCCTAGTTTTTAAAAAGTTGGCAATCACCAACTGTATTTATGTAGAAGATACAAATACATGTGTTCTACCAAATGTTTTTAAAACACAGAAAGTCAGTAGGCTTTTATCATAAGTAAATAACCCAAAATACAGAGTTTCCCATATATATGTCTCCATGCAAGAAGGGCCTACAGTTTAGGCTGGGCAATGAGTATTAGCAGCCACGGGTCATAAGTTGGCATTTCTACCACGACCATAAAGATGCATTTGAGAGAAGAAAAAAGGCAGCATGCTGAGTATCTGATGAGACAAATATTGCCCAAGAGACTATATATCTTGCTTCCCTTTTACCCTTATGGGTTTTAAAAGAATAATGACATCTCTACTAATGGTTCAGAAATTACATTTCTTTAAAAAGGAAAACACTTTCTCAAAATTGATATGAAGCATGCTCTTAAAACTCACTGTGCAGGGTTCAAAAAGCTGGCAAGTGCAAGGTGGTTCTACTACTGAGCACTGAGATGACTAGATATATTAAATAAAAACCTAAGCTTCTTGGTAAAAAAACAGGAAGGTCCTAAGGCTGTGTGGGGGCAACGTGGACACTGGCCTAATTACCCCTACCCTGGCCAGCCTCCTTCACTCTAGATTTTGGAAAGAGTTCATACCAGCACCCAAAATTAACGATGACCAATCATTAAATATCCGATCACCATCTCCCCCTTTAAAAAGCATTTACGAAACAGTATTTCTTGAAATGCATTTTTAGTTTCACCAATTCCAAATCAACAGAGAAAAAAAATGAAACCCTTTACAGACCTCCCAAATTCCCTATATGGATTTTCTAATGGTCATCTATTACTGCAATTCCAAATCCTAACAATGCATATGTGTAATTTTATAAAATTACAAGGTACAATTGGTTAACATTTGTAGACAGAAATTAAGCTTCTGTAAGGGCCTGTGGTAAAGGGGCTGGATAGCCACGTCTAGGACCAGAACCAGAGAATGTCAGGGCCCAGGTCCCTAACTGCAAGGGTACAGAAATGAGAGCCTGCCTGATAGCACTGTCGGCTACTGGGACGTGGGTTTTAGATTCATTGTCTTTAATCCTCACAACAAACCTGCAAAGTTGGTATCAGTGCTCTCATCACAGATACGAAGGCTCAGGCTGAGATATTAAATAACTTATACAAGGTCACACGGCTAGTGTCTATAAGAACCAAAACAGAAATTTGTTTTCTCAACTCTAATCCACTGCTTTTACTACAATCTTTCATAAGTCTGTCACCAAATTATTCAGAAGTCATCATTTAACCTATCTGTGCTATCATTTAAAGAATGAGCCCATGTTTGTTTCTATACTAAGTGGCCATCACAGCTTTCGTTCTAAGGACAAGACAGTGGTTACCATACAAACCAATGTTAACTACCTTAGATTCCAAAACAAAACCCAACATATTAAATGGGTGATTAGCTTTAGTGCCCAATCTTTGCTCAACTCTTCATTTCAGAGGTTATTAGTGGCAGAATACAATCCCTAAGGCATCCTACCTACAAAACACTCAGACAGGTTTTTCCAGTTACATTACTAAGACAAAACAAACACAAACTGTGCCACCACCATCCTCACAGTCCCGTATCTCATCAGTCTTCTATCCCTACAGGCTGACCAGCCTTCCATTTATAAAATCCATAATATGAAGGTGGGGGCATTGACAAAAGTCAATGAATATGGCCCCTCTGTCCATTTTAGTTCAAATGCTTCCTTCACACTGCCAAAGTCAAATGCTGTAAATGTACTGGGTTTTTTTCCCCCACAGGTCACGATTCAAATCACTAGCTTTTCTACTTAAATTCTGGCGAAGCATGAAAAGGTAAGCAAATAAATGCCAGAACTACAATATTTCCACACGCCTTCCCTGATAACTAAAGTTAATGAAGATATGCTTTCCGTATGATTTCAAACTGTTCCTCCCTCACTTCAGTCCCAGGAGTTAAGAAATGGGATTTATAAAAATGGACAAGCCAACTGTAAAAACCTCTTACAATTTGTAGTTTAAGTTCTCTAAAGACCTCTCCATCAGGGTCTGTAAATTACTTTCCAATTTACTGTGTATTTTAAACTACAAAACTACCATTAAAAATATTCTGTGGTTTTCCACTAATTCGCATATTATCCCAAATTGTCTAAATTTCTAAGATTTTACATTAGTTTGGGCGTTGGGAGCTGAAGGTAAAGGAGGGCCTGCTTTGACAGGACTTGAGTGATTTTTTTAAATCATATCTAAATATACTTTGAAATATCTTTTGAGGTAGGCCAGCGTTAACTGGCTGAAGTACTAGGAACGTGCTTTCCTTAGGGCTCAGGTGATAAAGTAATAGTATGAACCAGGACTCCTACTGCTAGAGCTCAGGCCATTCTGTCATCACATTTGCTTACTGAAAGAGGCCAAGAAACAACTATAACCCCAACCCAAAACCATGTGATTAGTTCTGTTTATTTAAATCCACTACTAAAAAATCCAGATACTGATGAATTACAAGAAAGCAAACATCTCTATGAAGAAACTTTAGCATCAGGTACAAATATCCCAGTTCTTCTCCAACTTGGGCCCAAAGATTTAGAGAACCCTTAAAAAGCAACTCTATCACAATGTGACTGAAGTGAGAAAAAAGAATAAAAATACTCTTTATCTCATTTTTATGTCAATCTTCTCTTTTATCAAATGATTTACACTGAAGGAAGCCCTGCACTGGGGCAGAAATGCTTTAGATGTATTTAGTTAGTAGCAGACCTGGCACCTATGTCCTACACGACTGCAGCTGCAATTAGTGGCCCTATCCATCAAGGAGGCATGTGTAGTAGGTGTAGGAAGGAGGCAGCATGAGGAACCTCACGTTTCACAGTTGTGCCAACTGCAGCAGTGCGGGTCCCTTTGCTTGGTCCTCCTCAGAGAAATGAGTATAAAGTTGACTGGACTTACCAGAACCTGGCAATTATCTTTCTTGCTATCGTGAAGACAGTTATCTACTGCAAGATACATTTACTGCCAATGCTAAAGTACACACGGTCACTACATACATGCATGCCAACTAGTTGTGAAGACAGATGGACCCAAAACAGATTAGATTAGGTGTTGGAGAGCAGCTGCCTGAAATGAAAAAGTATTGCACCAATACTTTACAAGGTGAATAATTCATACGTGCAGTTTAAGGTGGCCAGTGGAGGGAAGCAGTGTGA